GCTGTGCCCTTTCCGGGTGCGACCAGCTGAGTGCTCACTTCACGGCACGACAATTAGCACAGCTGATCGAAGATAACCCCACACGGGCCCTACACGAGCTTACCGACACAACAACGGTCGCCGATACTTCACCGGCCTGGATCAGCCGCCGCTCGACTCTATGTCACTGGCCTCAATGACAAACAAGTCCGTAACGAGACCACTCAGGCCAGGTCTGGACGTGGCACAGTGGTCCGCTCCATTACACCGAACGCTGCTCGGGCACCGCACTATGTGCCGCATACACTGCGCGGCCGGTCCCGGTTACACCGACGGTATAGAGTTGCAAGCGTGCTGGACATCGGTGCTATGGTATGTCACGTCAGTTGGGCAGAATGACGGCAGCTGACCCCCTCCCCCGTGTCCCCATCACGTGCCGACAGGTCACGCACGGAACGACAAGCGGAGAACAGCGGCATTCAGGATAACATAACGGGTTTATTTGGGTGCAAATAGCGCGTGTTTGGTTATCAATATCATCTATTGTTAATGTTGAAATGCATGTAGATTGTGTCGGTGCGTAACAAAGACATCAGCCAACCAGTGTGTCCAAAATTGTAATGTTGCGGGGAAATCCACCCATAATGAGAAGTATAATGACATCCTAAAAATATAAATAAAACATCCTCATGGCAGTCACAACTTATAATAACAACCTCGAACCTAAACATCTGGGAGCAAGAGAAACACAAAACTCGCAAGCTCTCACAACACGCCAAGACAGCCATTTGAATAACCAAAATGTTCAATTATATGACCCGACTTAAAAACCTCATTTAACATCCCGAATATCAATATTTAATATTTCTACATCATTTTCTCGTGACATATATAAAAAACGGTGATTAAAAAGGGTCGAAGTCAAGTTTTATGAAAATAACGACATCCTTTCCGGCCTTTTTTTCTACATCCTCCCCCTAACATAAAATGAATTTAGCCACACTGCAGCCAACCACTGTTCGTGTCAAGATCTAAAGGAAAATTAGTGAAAGGTGGCGGTAGCGCCCATGAGAAGGCTGGTCAAGACAACCGTTTCGTAGTAACCTTTCGTTTGACCTGCAATCATGCGGCTACCGGTTAGACAATAGCACCATTTCTTCTAGGAACGCAACAAGGAGCTGGCGTAACCTCAGTGTTGGTGCACTCTAGATAGTGGAACGTATCAAATCGCAGATTACGCTGATCAAAGATATCGGCACCGCTAGCAATATCATTGATTGCAGATAATAGCGTAGATATGATATGCTACCGAGGCTGAAGGGACCTGACACAAAAATTCGATAGGTATTCACTGTTCAGGGGGACGATGAATCATCACCTTTCAATAGATAAGCGGCCGGCGAATGTTCGTCTTAATTGCATTGCAAATACACAAGTATATTTGACCTGAACTATACAACAGGTTTTGTGGGGGGGGGGGGGCATAACATACAATGTAAGTTAGTTTCCTACGAGTACTTCAGCACTAAGCTATAATCGCCACCCTATATGTGGAAGGCTTGGGATGTCAATGCATACATACATTATACATACATACATGCCTACATGCATACTTTTAGCGATGTATAAAAAAGGAGACACAAGATGAGATGTTAATCTCTAATCATAAAGTTGACGAGACTTCAGCATTTAACCGCCATCGTTTTAGAAGGGAGTCACACTGGGGCCTGCAATGTGATTGTTTCTCGGTCGAAAATAAAGTTGACATGCATGTTCAGAGGGCAACCATAATACACAGCTAGGTCAAGTGAAGGGATAGAGACTTTAATTCATTCATATTATTATCAATATAAGATGCTTGATGAAAGTCAAAACGATCACATCATTTCAAGCACCCTACATATGTAGCGTAAGCCATACGTATACCAATCCAGTGATGTAACATGTCATGTCATTCTATAAAACCTTGTATCCCGCTGGAGCCAGACTGGAAAACATCCATACACTACGCCGGAGGCGGACGCCCGTGAGACCCTCATGCACCGAAATTCGGCGCAAGTGATTTTGCGCTGAAATGTCAGCATGATTTACCCCGTAAATCGGATACTTATTTGCACCTTAATTAATCCACTGTTCCATAAAGCACATGTGCAAACATACCGAACGAGGTTATATCATCCAGATTCTAGTCAGAGCGTTCCCGGTCGGAAATTTAGGGTCGCAAAAATTGGTGGAGCGATGTGTTCAGGGTGTCTCGCAACCCGTGGCCATTCGATCAGGCCTTACACTGAAGGGCCAAGGAGATGCAGTGAGCTGTTCTTAGCCTTAGAAACACAATAGTCATACTCCCCTGCAAAAAAAAAACATCGCAGCAGAACCGGCTTAACCGCCCCACGGGGCTGGTACCATGAGTACGAGAGTGCATTTCTCCAATGCGCCTGTCTGCGATATCGGCCCGAGCCGGTGCTGGTAGACAGCCATTCGACAAAGCCGCTGCTATTGATGGAGTTCAGTGCTTGTGCGAGGAACATTGCAATAGCTATTTGAAAATATACAAGCATGACCTTTCCTCGATATTGAATAAAAAAGTGCCAAAAAATACACAAAAATGACAAAAATGTTCTACCAATAAAGTACACTTTTCGGCACTTTTTCCATTCAATATCGAGGAAAGGTCATGCTTGCATATTTTCAAAAAAGCCACTGCTAGTATAAGCAGCATATCGGAGGCCAGCAAATTTCTGAATCTGCTGCTGGTAGACAGACATTCGGTGAATTTACTGCCAGGGCAGCATATTCGGGCCAGATGAGTGTGTGATTCACGGCAGCAGATTCACAAATATTGATCTCCTGATAGATCGGCCAACGTGTGAAAAATTTGGCACCAGCCATGCGCAAAAAAATATTCTGGCTGTCATGCACTGGCACATGTGAAATTATGATGGATGCGCACTGAAATTTTTGGCGCAATACTGGACATATTTAGCATAGCATGCATTTTTTTCCAGTCAGCCATTAGAGGTCAAGGTGTAGGATATTTGGCCAGGCCAGCCGCCAGACACAGAAACTTGATGTGCTTGAATATAAAAAATGCTCCGGAACCATGCTCGAGGGAAAAATAGACATAGGATAGGTCCATTCCAAGGACAACTAAAAAGTGACTCACCAGTCACTAGTACAAAATAAATGAAAATACCCGCCATGTTCTTTCAATCTGAGACTGTAGATGTGTTGTATACTTAGTTATAAGTCATATATTCTATGTTTGATGTCAAGAAAGTAACCCACCTTTTTCAGCCTGCCTGCGCTTTTCCTGTCGGAAGCTTTCAAGACTAAGAGTTTTAGCTCTCTCCAGATCTTCCAGAAACTGCTGGTGGCCACTGGCCCTTGGTGGCAGTGGTGGCGGTTTCTCCATTGCAGTATATTGGTAGGCAGAAACTGCAAACATGCAAAATAATGGTCAACATCTTTGCTTCCAGGCAGGCCGTCAACATCAACATGTTTTACTACCTAGGTAGGTACCTTGCAAGCCTTTGATTGCCCTGCAGTAACAGTAGGTGATGGTTGGTGACTGGCATTGGTATGTCAAATAATTTTTAAAGTCCATAAACAGTTGGTGCAATAACATTCAATTTGCAGTTTTATGAAACACGGACTATTTTGCATTCAAAATGAAACCCACCTACTGTGCACTGACCTTGACTTTAAGACTTGACTTTTGGACAGACACTGTAGATTCTGGACGCTGCTATCAGCAGTTATGAAAATGATAATCAATGAATGAAAGTTTTTACTCTATATTGATATCGCAAATATATTGCCATTAACACCCGTAACTAGGTAATTTGAAGTTGAAGTTGAAGTTGTAGTGAGCTGTAGTAGACTAGGTCTATTCAGTGCTCACATCGAGCCGGACTAGGAATGAGGTCAATTGTGGTGCGAGGAGGCAGGTTCGGCAGCCCTGTGGTCTAGCCTGTTTTTAAACGTATTTGTAGATGGAGCCTCCACCACATCTCTTGGCAATTTGTTCCAGTCGTTTACTACTCTGTTTGAAAAGAACTTCAGCCTGTACAGATGGCTTGATCTGCCTTTCTTCAGTTTCAGATGGTGTCCTCTAGTGCGGTCTTCATGGTCGACTTCGAAGAACTGCTCACTATCCACCTTAACCTTCCCTGTTAGGAGCTTGTACGTTTCGATGAGGTCGCCTCGACGCAATCTGTCTTCCACGCTAAGAAGTCCAAGTTTGTGGAGGCGTTCTGGGTAGGGTAGGTTCCTTATAGGTCTGACAAGCTTTGTCGCCCTCCTCTGTACTTGTTCCAGCAGCCTGAGAATACACGATCGAAATTTAATTCAGCTCTGCGCAGTACCAAGTCAACACGTCCTAAAATGTTTGGGCCAAGGCAGGTTTGGGCCATTACTTGGATGATAAGTAGTTCGCAGGTCGTATTTTAATACCAAAATAAATGACATCAAATTAACTTGTGAGGATTTTTTTTAAATTTAACACTCTTTTTTAGAAACTTGTTAACTCATGTGGTATAATAATCTAAATTAGCTATTTTAAAGATTCAAAAAGAATAAAAATAAAATCAAAAAGCATCAAAATTTGATATAAACGTCATTTGCTCTTTTACTGGGAAGTAGCTTACTCTGCGCTGCATTTGTACCATTCGCGCAAGTTTCAGGATCAAGGGAAATAAGCTGGAAAGATGAATAGCAGACAGCAATTATTAATAAATGACATCACAAATAAAAAAGGTTGAAATGGGTTTTTGGCAAAGTCAGATTCATAGAATCATCTTATCTTCGGCAATCAAGTATATTTATGTTGATTTAAAAAGAAATCCACATTTAGCTTTTTTCAAACAAAGCAAACAATATAATTATAGCGAACTATGAAGACCAATTGACAAATCAAAACCAGAAGAATAAATGACGTCAAAGATTTTGTACAGTAATGTTGGAGAGAAGGAGGATAAATAACTGAGAGTTCGAGCGCTCTCGAACTCCCCAATCCCCCCGACCCGGTGCCCGTTTCCGATCCTCCGCAGCGGAATCCCGCGGAACTGCGGTTATATGGCCTTGGAACTGCCATGTTGTCCGCGTTCTGGCGCCATATTTCCCGTCTCAGTCTTGGCTGAATTATTTGCTTACGATTGACATGTGAGTCACGGATGTCTGAATTACTGAATCAGGCAGGAATTCTTGACAATTTGGTGTTAAATTATTCTGTTTTTGATGCAGAATTGTGCTAGTTTTCCTTGTATTTTGGGATGACGTCTCAGCCCTGAGCCCATCGCTGAATGGCGGCTAGCCGTAGTTGCCTTCTGTTACTTATCAATTAAAATGGTTTTAAGAAACTGATTGCATTTTTTAATTTTATGTTGGTGTATTCTATGTTCTTGCTTACAAATGTGTACCTACAATTTGTTTATGTAACACTGCTTAGCCTCAAGCTCAAGTCAAAGTGCACCAGCAACTGACCCCTGGTGTTCTGTGCAGCAGCAGTGCTTGCTATAGTATGAATTGGTTGTATGCATCTGCTAATTGTTGCAATTACTTGAAGTTTTCATCAGTTTGAATTGTTACCTTCAATTGTTTTTGCAGTTATATACCTCATTTTTGGGCTTTACAGTTGTTTCATGCAGTAATGCATTCTCCTGTATAAGTTATTCTTAGTTTTTTTCCTATTTTATAGATGCAACCTTTGGTATTGCCTGATATTCTTTTTCATACCAGCCAGAACAATGTTGAGCACAGTGCAGTGTTTTACCAGCCAGTATGGGAAAATATATAGCATTGTTTAATGTGTAGTATCATTGGGTGTGTCCCTGACATGAACAAAAGCATCTGTAGCCAAGCTGAATTCACAACATTGTTTTGGAGAGCAGCATTCAATATTCCTGAATCAATGAAATCCCTAAGTCAACCTGTCCTGTTTGGTATGGAAAGGAACAAAGCTTGTAAAAATATAGCATTCATTTAACTTGCATGACTGAGGATGTCATATACAAGGATTTTGCTTTGTAGTTCTTTTCTGATACTTCTTAGTGTAAGCTAATATTAAGGTACCTACTAATATGGTGAAGAACCTGTCAAAGAACAATGCTTCGTTCCTCTTCAAATGCTTTTTAAGCTTTAATTGCTGCTTCTCAACTTCTCTTCAATGGTTCAAACCCTTAAATCTTGTTTTTAAAGAAACCAATTGTGAATTCTTGAATTACCTGATTATTTATTAGTGTTCTTCAAGTTAGGGGCAGTCAACTGATTATATTTTTGTGCATGGCTTCTGATGACTTTTATTAATAGATGAAAAAATCAACTCTGCCTTCCTTTTAATGAAATATTTGTTATTTAAACAGCTGGTTACCCATTGTTTGAAAAGGACCATAAACATGAACTGCAATACAAATATGAACAAAAATCAATTTGTGATCATGAAATAGCATTTAATTGTAATACCTATGCAGTCTCGTGGTAGTTGGTGTATATGTTGTGATTATCAATGTTTCTTAGGTGCTAAATTTACAACATTGTTCTCATTGCCATTTGGTGTGTAGCATTTTTCCATTATAGCTATTGTTTGTGAGCTATCATCTCAAATAAACCCATGAAAAAGAAAGCCCAGTTGCACTACACTGTTCACATATTTTGGTTGTCCTCACATAATGAAACCCATGTCGGCAGTGTGATCGGCGCGATGGACCCCCCGACTCCGGCCCCGCGGCCGTCCACGCCTCCGCCGCCGCCGCCCGAGCCGCCGGTCGCGCGCCGTCTGTCGGTGCGCAACACGCCGACGCTGCGCAGCGCGCGGCGCGAGCAGCTGGCGGAGGCGCGCGAAGAGACGGAGACGGCCGCCGAGCCGGCCGAGCCGCAGCCTGAGCCCGAGAGCAAGGACGTGAAACCCAGCCCGGCCCGCTCGGCCTGCCGAAAACGCGCCAGAGGTATGCTCGCCAATGGAATGAGAGTGTGTGGAGTAGAGACAGCGCTGAGTGAATGGCGGCAAATTATGTGGGCATTGATAATGCTACTTAATTAATCAGTTTATTTTCTCCGGCTGTGAGACACGTAATCGAGCCTAAGTGCTTCGTTCTCGGCGGCTTTCTGTTCGCACAACCATGAGATAAATGAGAGTTAATGAGAGTTTCTCAGATGAATTGCCAACGAGACGATATCCGTGAGAGGTTCAAATTGCCGATATTCTGAGTGCCTGTGAGTGTCTTTACTGTGACGACTATTATCTGTACGATTTTCAGATACGACAGAAGACGATAAAAAGCCAGAAGGCCCGCCGGAGAAAAGCAAAAGGACCTGGGAGAAGTGGTCACCATCAGATAAGACGGTGTTCTTTGAAGCTCTGAATGACTTCGGGAAGAACTTTCAGGCACTGCAGAACTACATTGCCAAGAAGAAAATGAAGAACAAGGCTGGTCAAGATCAAGTCCGCAACCGTGATCAGATTCGCTTCTTTTACTACAGGACTCTGAACAAAATCTCCAAATACGTCCAGTTTCCTCCAGGTATGGCCAACGCGCATACAGCAATTACAGCATGCTGTGTTGGTATCTAGTTTTGTGTATCTTTTAAAGCTGGATATTTTCCTTAGAGTGGCACTTTGGCATCAGTGTTTACTGATAAATTGTTTCTGGCATACAGGATGGCCCTTTTTGACATGTTTGGGCGAATAAAAGTTAGATGCCCATGCCCCATACATAACTCACACGCTATGGTGTCATGAAAGTGCGATATGTATGCTGATATGATTTATCTATCTCAAATCTGGACTTTCACCACTCACAATCCTGTGGCCTGTTCGGACAGACGTGAAGCGTTCCATCCAGGAGATCTACCTGCTGGTCAACTACGGCGAGCTGCGGAAGCGGATCGGCATGTTGAACGAGCGCAGCGGACAGCGCCTGAACGAGTTGGTGTACCGCGGCAGTACCACCGTCCGGCTCCGGGGCAAGACGTACCGCATCCGAACGCCCGTCTGCCGCGCGCTGAAGAAAATCAACAGGATCCAAGGTCGGTGGGCTAGAAGCTGGGGTATCTAGGTGGTTGACTGGAAGAACAGGAGGTCCATCGAGTACCGAGTGGCATATATTCGAGGAGAGTTATATCTTGGAGGTCTGCTGTAGCACATGCGCTGCCCAATGTCGTCTTTAGCTGGATAGGTATAGCCCTGAGTTGTGGAGAACCTTATTTGTGATCATTTACGCCGATCACTTCGGCTCATAGTCTGTCTGCGAGCACTGGCCTGTTCACCAGATTTATTCACTGCGACACCCCATCCCTTTCTTTCATCTACAGACCCAGCCGAGGAGCCGTTCGTCCGTCTGCCGGCTCGTACCCAGCTGGAGCTCACACCGGCCACCAACGAGGCCTGGTACCACGTGCAGTCTCTGTCTCACAACCCCCGGCTACGTGCCACACTGCCACTCCAGTACCGGCTCAGAACGCTGGTACTGGCCCTGGAGAAAAGATGGAAAACCGAGGCCGACAGAGCTGTATCCTCTGAGGACGTGGTTGAAAACGGCTGGGAGGGAGTGGAAAACTATAGTTATGTTGCTGGGATGGAATGATTTAAGTGGCTGCATGCTGCAGCTGCGGGTGGGTCCCTTTGCTTATCTCACTGAATCGTTTGAGCTTGGATCTTTCACCATCATCAGTTTTATGGATCATCGTTTTCTTCATGAGGCATCGTTTGTGTGAGAGAGTTTCACATTAGTTTTTGCTAAAGTATCATAACATTACGGTATTATGGTTCGCAGTGATTGACTGATGTCGTATTCGGTGCGCCATTTCCTTGACTAGACCCTGTTCAGTTGGAGAAGGTGTGCGGTGACGAGCCTGCCCCCGTTCCGGCCCGTCGGCTGGTGCTCCGCGCCACATCCGACTACAAACTGTCAGCTCAGGTGATCCGCCCTGCGCCTCCAGCCCCCGTGGTAAACCTGAGCTTCGAGCGCTACCAGGAGCGGATGATGCTGCTCTCTGAGCCGCCGGCACCGCGCACACCCACCCCCCAGCCGCCGCCCGCGCCGGCGCCCACCACACCCGACTGTGGCGTCCGACTGAGCTTCGAAAACGTTCTGGAGGAGCTGCATTCGGTGTCGGATTCGGTGGGTGCAGGCAGTGCGGGGCCAAAGAAAGCCGGTGAGGATGCGTCGTCGGCCGGGGCGAAACGAGAGTCCGCTGGTGATGAGGCAGAGTCTGAGCTTTCACGACAGGAAGAGGTGAAACAAAAGGAGGCAAGGAAGCAGGAGGAAGCGCGACAAAGACAGGAGGAAGCGAAGCAGAAGCTGGAGGAGGCGAGACAGAAACAGGAAGATGCTCGCAGGAGGCTGCGTCAGGAGCGGCTCAGGAAGCAGCTGGAGGAGGCGGAGCGGAGGAGGGACGAGGAAGAGCAGCGGGAGGAGCAGGAGCGGTCGCGGCTGGAGGAGGAGAGGAGGGAGGCCGAGAGGACACAGCGCAGTGAGCTGAACACGGGCTGGACGGCGGAGACGGCCGGCACCCGGACAGTCGGCGAGCTCTACATGATGGTGAGCCTCGGATCCAGGAATCAGAGTGGGATGGCTTGTAGAGAGTCAGCAAGGCGAGGTGATGATTTAGCTGCATTCTAATCCGAGGGTCCGTGGAGGCATTAGATAATGTAAAGTTTTAAGTGCTTCGTTCTTTGACAATGAAAAACGTATTTTTTCTTGTGTCATTCCGATTGCTTTCCTTCTCAGTGCGATTTTAGAGGCACACTTTTCTTCTCATGGGATATCAATTTAGAACGTTTTCCCGTGCATCTGTACCGTATCGTTCTCCGCAGATGGCGTACCGATACTGCTGGTGATGACGATTTTGACACGTCTCTTTCAGGTGAATCGTCCAGACACCATCAAACTGCAATACTTCTGGCTGCCGAAGAACGTCTCCCTCAAACAGCTGAACGCTGAGGGCAAGGAGGAGACTAAAGAGGAGACGAACGGGACGGCGCCGACGGCTGAGGTGGTGCCCGCCGAGCCTGCGCCCTTCGGAGAGCCCTCCGACCAGCTGAAGAAATGGGCGCTACAGGTGGCGGCCGCCCGGGCGCTCACCGATACCACTGCCTCAGGGGCGGACAGCGAGGCCTCCCGCAAGGTGAAGATGCTGACGTCGATGCTGGCCCAGCTGTTAAACGTCGCACGGCTGGCCAAAATAAAGGTGAGTGTGGTCAGCCGGATAATCGAAGACATAATCGTTGGGCCTTTGTCCGTATGCTACATGAAGGGAGTGAAAGGCCGGTTTGACGTTAGGTTAGTTTACATCTGTGATGGTATAATTGTATTCAGGACAGAATTATATTATAGCTATACTAGTGATGCGTCTGAATCTACTTGGTTGGTCATTGAGGTATTTTTTCCTGACTTGTGACGAATTTCGTTGTCTGAGCTCCTCAACTGATCCCCCATTACTGACCATTGACATCCCTCCTTTGCCGGGCAGACGGAAACACGGGGCCGCGTGTTCCCGGCCGGACCCCTGGTCACCACAGGTACCCAGACACCGCCCAGCATGGCGCACCGACCTCTCCCCGGCCGGGAGCCCCTCTACTACGTGGCGTCGGGACCGCGCCGGCCGGGCGGACCTCAGGAGCCCGGCGCGCGGCGACCGATCCCCATCGCTCCAGCAATGACCCGCGCGAGGCCTCAGCTGCCGGCGGCCGGCACTGGGACGGACGCGGGTGTCATGAGGCCTCCTCTGGAAACGGCGGTTAGTGGGGAGGAGTCATGGGCTGGGTGGCGAGTTGAGTGTGCCGAGACTCTGAGTCCTTTGTTTGTTTGCGGTGTGTTGGATTATTTTGTGTTGGAGAGCGGTTGTATTGCCGTCGCTATCAAATCATGCAAACCAGTACGCTAGGGAAGTTGCGCCACCATTTGGCAGCTCTGATAAACACGCTAGGAAAAACCGGCTATCGTATTATGCGGCCATTTTGTGAGGCGAAATGTCTGGGAGCTTTACGTTCTGTCGTACGAGTGTGTGTGCTAAAGGGGACGCTGCTGTCGTCAGCAATGCCTCGGTGGGAGCTGGTTAACTGTCAAGATTAGTTTACTATGTACTGTAGTGTAAAATGTGTAATAATTTGTTCTGTGTGATTGTTTGTGTCATGCACTCATGAAGAGTTTAGCTCTTCCGTGCTATTTTCCCTCTCCCGCTGTCAGTTCGTAGAGCGAGCTCACAATTCTGCCATCCCGTTCCCGTTTTACCCCGTATCTGACGACTCCGTATCTGACGACTCCTTGATCTGACGACTCCGTATCTGACGGCTCCGTATCTGACGGCTCCGTATCTGACGGCTCCGTATCTGACGGCTCCGTATCTGACGGCTTCGTATCTGACGGTTCGCTCTCTCTCTCTCGTCAGTTGCGCACTCTGCCTCGCTCCAACAACCGCGCCGGTCGGCCGGGCCGCAAGAGCCAGGTGGTGGTGCAGCGCATGCTGCCGCTGGTGCCGCGCAACCAGGGCAGCGGCGGCATCTCCATGGTCAACCTGCGACTGGTGGCCGGACAGACGCAGGTCAGTGGCGCAGATCGTAGCTCACTGTGAGAGGAATCGGGGTGGGGACTGACTAAAAAAAATTGCGGGGATCCCAACTGGATAACATAACTGGCTTACTGAGGTTGTAGAATGCTAGCGTGGGCTTACGTGGGATGTTTGTACAATGTACAATGTACTTACTTACTGGTTAGGTCTGGAAGACTGTAAGCTACTCAGAATCGCTTATGCACGAATGTTGTGCTATTTGGCTCGCACGAGCTTACAACTATTGCTAGTTCCCAGTTTCAACGAGTGCTACGTCTGTAGCAGTTTTCATGTCACCATGCTGACACACCGTTTCCCCTCTCCAGACTGCGGGCAGTTTCGTGCCCGTCTCGGTGCCTGTACCCGTCTCCTCAGCTGCGACTCCGGGTATCACCATCTCAATGCCCGTACTGGACACTGGAGACACTAGGGCGCCCGCCCCCGCCCCTCCCCCGCCGCCTCCTCCGCCCCCGCCCCAACCGGGAGGCGAGGAGCCCGCCGCGCCTCCGGTCCTCCACATCCCGGAGAGGTCCTCCACTCCGGAGAGCCTGCCGCCGCCTCCAGAGTCGGAGTTCTCACTGAACGGCGCCTCGTCAGATGTGCTGATGGATGTCACACTGGCCAACTCCAACTCCAGCTTCTCAGGTGAGTATGGGAGAGGTGGATGAGGTCCATTCTGGCAGACTCGAATTTAATCTTTCATGGGAGCGTGGGGAGGGAGTTAAGGTGCTCACTGCCCAACCTTACCTAAGTTACCTTCAATTCAAGCCTCAAAGGTGTAAGTGTGGGGTTTCAGCTGGCTGACCAACTCCAATTTCAGCAGGCCTCTGAGCTTTTAGTGTGAGGGAAGATGCGTCGACCCGTTTAAAACTGTTGAATCATAGACCACTATATATAGTGGTCTATGGTTGAATATTATAATGAATCCTAGACCTCTTATACAAACTAGGTTTATGACTGAGTCGTTATTTATTTGCGTCGCTAATTGCCGCCCAGCATAACCTATTCCCGTTTGTTTCAGGTTTTCTGGCGTCGTTCGGCCGGGGCGGGGGTGACTCGTCGGTACTCCAGACCCCGACCCGGCCCCTCTGTGAGAACTCGCTGCCGAGGCCCTCCCCGCCGGCCAGTCCACGGGTCTGGAGCGAGGTACGCGATACGTACCTACTCGGTGGTTTGTGCAGTTGCTCTGTGCCATCGATACTCTGGCAAAGATAGCTTGAAAAACATGGTGATTTGTGGAAGTGATTTTGAGCTTCCACGCGATTCTGAAGCGATCATGCTTCAAAGCCTGGCATTATAATGAAGTGTTCGACATGCGGTAGCTTAACGTGTCTTTTTGAGTGTTGTCGCAAGAGATGTCATGTTTATTTACGGAAAGCATATTTGAGAGGTTCTGAACTTGAACTTGAAAGTTCAAGTTCAAGTTCAAGAAAGAAAGTACTTGAAAGAAAACTAAACTAAACTAAACTGAACTTGTTCGAATCTTGCCTTCTTTTTACCTCGCTAACCACTCCCACAAAACCGAGTCAAGAGTCAAGACCTCAGAGACGACATTTTGACGCGCTTTCACCTGTCTCCAGATGGGCGACTTCTCGCTGAGTAGCATCCTAGGCCACCTGGAGACGAGCAAGCCGCCGTCGAAGGAGTCGCTCTCGGACCCTCTGGCCATGACGGCAGAGGAGCTGGTGCGACACACTCCCGACAGCTTCGGCTCGCTCGATCTCGCTGAGGTGAGTGGTCGCTTTAGGATTAGATAACTGAGCCGTTGGGTTACTCGTATGATAGAAGCAGCTGTAGTCAGTCTCAAGTTTTGGCTGCCCGTCATGTTTACGTGGCTGTTGTTTTCCGCGTGAAGAACTTGAGAGTTTGAAACCGTGTCTGCTGTTCTGCGGGCGCTGGCGCTACTTTGATGTACAGACTAGCTGTAGGTTCTAAAATATGCTGGATTCTCAGAATTCGTTTCGGGCAGTTTTTTTTGTATGTGTGTGTCAAAAAATATGTTTTTTTCAGCAACTTATTAAGTACTTTATGTAGCATCTGTTAATGTCTTCCTTTGTCTTTAGCCGGTGAATATGCCATGTTTATCATTTTTGCCGACCTGTCGTTGTGTTGTGTAATTGTGTATACCTCAGGTTTGACTCGCCTACCCACTGTCTGAATATCACCTTTGCACCAGGTGGACGAGCCGGCTGCCGCGGCGCCCGCCAGTGGCTCCAGTCAGGGTCTGCCCACCTCCTTCCAGCTGTCCGACCTGATCCCGGCCGCCTGCGAGGCACCGCTCGCCAGCGGCCAATCGCCGCCCACCTGACCGGTGAGAGCCAATCAGCGGTCAGGTGACGGAGTGAGAGCCAATCAGCGGTCAGCGGAGGGCATTGGGAGCCAATGAACGGTCAGGTGGCTATACCGGGAGCCAATCAGCGTTGAGGCGATGTCCTTGAGGGCCAACCAGTGGTCATCAACAGTCACTGAGGAAATAAAAACAGACCGACTGAGTATACACTCTACAAGGCTCCAACCGCCGAAAAGTGACATTCACCAGGTCGCCTGTAAACCAGCTTATCCCAGATATTTGCTTTTTGAAGCGTGCTCGGCATGTGGCGGTTGATTGAGGTACCGAACGAGCCAGTAATTGCTAGCGGGGACTGTGATGTTTATTTTTAATGCCATCAGCTCGCATATGTGTATGTTTTTAGTCCGAGCTGGTAGATCGGCAGTGATCGGAGCTTGGGCTTTTTTCTTTTTGTATGATCTCTATAATGGTGACTTTGTTTTGAGTCATCATGACTTCAAAGAAGGCTCGAAAATAACCCACTTTACACGTTTGGGCATTCGGTCTTAGTGTCTACTTGCCAACTGCGGTAAGCTAGATTTAAAATCACCTATGCTGTTTTCCTTCAAGACAAGATCCTTTTCGCGGCTATTCTGGTCATATTTCAGTTTCATCTTAAGTTGCTGTGATCTGGGCATTGCCATTTGTCGCCTGGACAGCTTTAATGACTCCCTTCTTCGGCATACTGCTATCCGTTAACGATTCTGTGTGTGGCGTACATAAAGTGGCTGATAGTGCTTTGAGGCAATGAAGAGCTTCACGCTTGGGCAGGGTCAGCAAGAAGTGCGCTTGAAGGGATTGTCTTTCACTGCTGCTGTCGCTGAACAGGGCAAGTTTTGTGGGCGAGTTTTATGTATTGTGCGGAATTTTGTGTAAGCTGTGACCTTTTTGAACTTCGTGAAGAGAATGTTTGCGTTTGAGAGCTGAGTAGGCTCTTACCTACGCATTTTCGTGAGTCTTGCTAATGGAGTCGTATTGTTTTGGCATTAAAACACGCACAGTGTTCTCATTTCATTCATGCTTATTCAAGACACAGTTTTCGTTGAACGTGGTAGGTAGTTAACGTGTCATCAGAAACTTTTGAAATGCAGAGCGAAGGCCGGTGAAGAATGGACCCGGCTCTGTCTTAGTACAAATGTGCGCCACCAGGCGGCGTTGGCATCGCTAGCAATTCTCGGCAGCAATCGGTGATCGCTCGATCATGAAAAGTACAACTGAACGGCTAGGAGCGGGTGTGTCCATCGTGCGAGGTGGCTCGCCGCCATATTCGGAGCCGCGAATGTGCGACGTATTGTACACAATGCAATGTTAGTGTTCGATGAAGAAAAGACATGCGCACGGAATTTACCTACCAATATACCTTTCAAAGGAGTGCTGGTATTTGTGATGGAACGTAGTTTGGCGGATTGGTGAGAGAACACGATGCCTCTTGTTTGCCTGTTAGGTGTGTTTTTAAGGATGATCGGTCTTTTACGTACGCCAGGTAGTGATAACTGATAAGGGTTCATAATTCATGCACTTACCGTCTCTGAGGTATCGATCCATGAAAGCGTGAAGGCGATTCCTGTTTGATGCGGTATCGATTGTGATAAACTTCGCATGAGAGAAGGTCTAAAAGGAGCACTACCCAGGCCGGTAAACAATCATGTGTGCAGACGAGGCGGGAGCGGCCTTTGGTGTGTCTACACATACATACATTTGCGATGAACAATGAACAAACGACCCGTACCGCCTTACCAAACAGAGGTTGCAACCGGGCTGTACAAACTAGAAAGGGAAACGTCGAGCTGTTGCTGACAATGGATCACTCAATGCCTGTTTTATTTCGGTGTGTCCGGGATCAAAATCCGGGTAATCAGTAGGCACGTCACGGGTCGTATTACTTCCTACCCATCATGGTTCCCGTTGTGATTTCTGAAAGCCACTATTGCCCTGTGGAGTAGCATGTAGGTGGAGCCATCAACGCTACATAACGGTAATTCGAATATAATGCGAAATGAACTTCCGCCGTGTCTATTTATAATTATAGAGCATCAAATAGTTCATCAGTAAACGTGCTTTATTAGCAGTGATGGAATAATGGTGCCTTGCTGGTCATTCCTTTGGTTTCTGAACAATTTTAGCTAGTTACGATAGAGTGGGCCTACGGCCCAGGCCAGTGCGCGCGCGTAACATGTTTCGCCATCGAATTGTGACACATAACGGTGACGTCTTCCGCCCTTTATCCTCCCCGGCTCCATTGTGTCTGCTCTGTGCCGGGCGACAGTTTCACATGTCGCCGCCCACTCTAATCCCCGGCGATTGTGTCATCGAAAGTGGCGTCTCCGTCTTATCCAATATTGTCCCTGTCCTGTCAATACCCCGGGGCACACAGCCTCCCCCCCCTCCCTTCCCCTCCCCCGCTATCTGAACCACGCCCAAACCTCCAGTGACATTCAATCCCAGACGTATCACCTTTCCACACAAACGCCAACGCAACAGTCTCGATCGCCGCTCGCCCGGCGACGAAGCGGATGGGAACGGTATCCCATCTCCCAGCGCGACCGACGCGACCTTTGAAAGCGAGATGCGGCCGCGGGTGTCCCTCTTCCTGTGCGGGTGGGCGGGGGAGGGGTGGGTGGATCACCCCGGGGGCAGCACGAGAGGTCAGCAGGGTCAGGAGGGCGGCCGCGGCGGGGAGCCGGACGCACGACTCGCCGAGCCATTCACCGAGTGCGGTACGCTATTGCAGGAAATCGGAGAGGGGCTGCTTCCTGGATGATGGAGTGATGAAATGGGGTGTTGAAAACGGCCCGGGTGCGAGCTGAAATAGGAAGTGTCAGCTGTGGCGTCTGGACTCGGTGATATTTCATTGACGCAATGTGAAGTTCCCACGCGATGTGAACCTGGCAACAAGGGGGCGATAGGGTGATGAAGTTCACGCGACGTTGCAATGAAACGTCAACTGCATGAGTTATGTCATGAGGCGTACCGTTAAGACCATTCTAAGCTCAAAAATCACGATCGTCTACCAAAAGCATCTTCAAAAAGCATAGGTAATGAACTGAATCCCCCTCCACCTATCTTTTCTTTCCTCGCAAGTGACCAAATGTAGCCGTGGTCGTTAGGTATTGATCGATATCGGTAAGGCTGTAAAATATCTTCACAGGTCACCGGTCTTGTCCAGGGAGCAAAGCCGAATCGGGCCGAATTTGGGCCTTTGTAGACGGTAAAGCCACAAAGCATTTCTACGAGAACGGGACTGACTAAGGACTAAGAGGATGAAGCCTAACTGCCTTGACCATGCAAATCTCCCTAGCCAGTGAAGTATGATACAATTTTCGTCGTGCTCTTCTTGTGGCAAAGTTTCATTTCTGGCTTGTGGCACGCTCTACCTTCATCGCCGTGCTTACTGTTCTTTGTGACATTTGAAGATATGGATGGGTACTGGCCACTGGGTGTTTAAATGGCGTGGACAGAATGTCAGAGACATGGGCACAGCGACAAAGTGCAAGTATGCGGTTCTGGAGACGGGACTGGTCGTACCGCAGGCTCCTCTGCTCTCAGGAATGGACCATCAACACTGATTGGAAAAATGGGTTCACTGCACTTACTTGATCTACCCACCCCCATCTTTGTTTCTATGTGTGTTTGTGTGTCTGTTTTTTTTTTCGTAATCTATATCGGCTGGAGTTGCGTCGCAAAAAGCGCTGATTCACACTTACCGACTTATTTACATAAGTATTTCTTCCGCACATAATTTTGGAGAGGGCTGTACAGTGTATGTAGATACAGGTGGTAATCTATGCATGCGCTTTCGACCGACCAACTTAGAGCCGTCTCTCGTTAGCAACAACTAATTGTCGAAGTCCCACTTTAATAGCTACCCTTATTAGCGTATTTACAGGCCGTGTGACGCTTGGCTATAACGTGTCGCTCATCATCACGGGCGTGCGCCTGGTGCCAATTCGATGCGCCCTGACCGAAGACATTGCATATGCAATCAGGACCCGTTAGCAGGTCAGACTGTAAAGGCGTTTGTGGATCAGTCGTCTAACTCACCGCGATATTGAAACCTGTGACGTGCTTAGGTTTGGCTCGTTAACCCCTGCAGTCAGACAAAGAGCAGCGGAAGCACAGCGGTGCCTAGAGGCCCGCAGGACAGACGGCGAACGTATGCAACGTCCCACTGCGCCGATGATTGCTGTGATCGTCACCACTGACAGATCGGAGCCATCGTGATTCCTGCTGTCAGCCGCGGCAGTCCCCGAGAAAGCAGCTACTGCTATCGGCGATCGGTGCGCCGCTGCACTCTCTCCCTCGCACGGCGTTTTTACCAGCGGAGCTCACTGCCGATCCTGATGACTTATTCGCCAGTGCTGAGACAGCCGAGGAGTACCTGATGCCCCCACCGCTCTCCGGTGACGCTCCGCGCGATCGGCGCATACTCATTGCGGCGAAAGCATACAGTTTTTCGAGCAAACACGCCGCGGATATAAAGTTTTTGTATGGTCAGCTATCACCCATTGGCTATGCACACAGCGGGTGGAGCGGGAGGAGATTTGAATAGTGCATAAGCCGCAACTGAGTTTCACTTTGTTGATTAATTGATAAGACAGAATTTACTGCGCGCCGCATAGCAAGGCGTTTAATCGGATGAATGGTGGGGAAAATAACACTTAAGTCGGTGAAGACTCCTCTTAGAAGATCGCATCGTACACAAGCGATAAATAATATTGGGATGAGAGACGTTTAGCCTATAAATCATGATAATCCCATCTCTTACCTCGGGTGAATCCGTCGCGCACTGCGAGTATTTTCTCCTCCGTCAATGCGTATATTTGGGCATTGCGCTTAGCTCACGTACCGTTCAGTAGGCAATGCATACTTAAAAAGTCGAAGGAGACTGTAAGTTGGTGGTAAAATATATATGCACCTCTATACCTGGGCATACACCCGTCTCTGAATTAAAACCAATCTGTCCCTGCCACTTCCATCGTCTCCTTTGCCCGCCTCGCCGATTCTAGCATGAGCTCGACTCTATACCTACGCACACTAGTAAATAATAGTATATAGTCAGAAAATACCTTCTGACATAATTTAAATGCTGGATGAATGCTAAAAGTAACAACTGCGCTGTGACAGTGGAGACTGCAATGCATCACAAGACACCTTCCTAGCGAAACTGCGGCAGGTTCCGGGAGTTTCTTTGAAAGGTATGAGAAAAAGTTTATTTTAATAAGCATGCATTAGCGACTTGAGGTTGTCCAGCCTGCTCAAGTTATTCGGAATATGCAGATTCACGCATGGGGGGGGGATATATCGACTACATAGAAGACGGAACCGTTTCACGAAACTGGTCAAACTAACTACTAAGTGAACATCGAGTCGTCGACTCATTCCTGAATCCACTCCAAAGCGAGCTCGGTTCTTCCTTTCCCTGGAGACCGAACGCCCGAACTCAATCCGAGCCAGTCAGTCTGTGTGTTGACCTCACATCAAAGGGACGATTTTGTCAGGGGAAGGGCAAACATTTACAGACGGCAGATCGACTCCGCTTAGCTGGGGCCGAAATAAATAGGCCCAGCGTCTGTCGTAAATTGTTAATGGATCCACCTTCAAGTTCTAACTTACGAGTCACGACTCGCCAGAGCAACAGATTCACTTGAAAAACACGCACATCGGAGGGCGATGATCGAGAGCGAAAGGCCACGCACCAAACCCTGCACTCCTCACTATTTATAGTCACCGTGCTCCTCACGACCGCAGCCTCCCGATGCGGCCGCTGACACCGCAGAATCGGCCAGGCCGTTTGTACGCCGTCTAATCCGTCCCAGAATCGAGCCCAGCCTGGGACTTTCGCTGCCGAAAGTGACACTGGCCAAGCCTGATCTGTGGCTGGGGTGCTCAGGGGAGGGAGGGAGGGGTCCTGATCTCATCCCGCCTAGTCATTGTGAGGTTACGTGGGTCGGTGGCAGAGACCGATGTGCTATTCACTGACCAAACGGGTCCTGTCCGGTGCTGATGGATTGCTCTGCCGTGAGAACATGACCTCGACGTACTCAATGAGTTCAGGCGTTCTACGAACATGAATGGACGTTGTCCAGGACGTGAATTAGACGTTTGGAAGATGTGATGTGGCGTGGTATAATATAAGACGTGATTCGGGCATGACATTTCATACGACCTTTTATATTACATCCGATGTCATGTGGTGATTGTTTAATTATCCATCTATTTGAATCTGACGTTCTTTAGACGTGCTTCGCGCGTTCTTGGAACGTGCTTTACACGTTATTCCAAGATCTACAGATATGATCCAGGTGATCCTCATATGTCCTCTTGGCACAGACTGTTGGCATAAGCCTGTTCTGACAAGTGACAGCGTTTTAC